ATAAACAAAACAGTTCCAAATTACCCAGTAAGAACTACAGTTGCAAGCATGTAAACCTACAGGAACTACCAACAGTAAAGATTTGTCTGGCAAGCTGGGCAACCCACGTACGTGGTAACTATATTGGGACATCGCACAGTTACATCACTAAGCAGAAGTTGAAGAGCATAGTTACATCATTAAACAGAAGTTGTAAGCATACGCTGGCCACTACTGTGATGTCTCTACAATACTTACAGCCAATTTGCTACAAAACGTACCATCTAAAGAATAACTGTAACGAAAACTATAGCTGATTTTGAACCTCTTAAGGCAAAAAACTATCCAAGGAAAAAACAAAACCAAAACCAAAACCTACATGTATTGTGACAGCAAAGGGAAGGAGCACAGAAAAGGAAAATAAAGAACATGCAAAATATTTAAAAAGAACCTTCTAATTTTTCCGTCCATATAACCACTTCTTTAAACTGTGCAATTCCCCTCACACTATCCCGTATAATTGACCTTGAAGACTTGAATTTTTAGGACTGAATTATAAATTCTCAATAAAAGAAATTCTTTAATGTATAAGGTCAGAATTCAGTCAGTATATCGTCCATTCATTAGCACTGAGGCGGCAACCATAACCCAAACTCCTCACTGTGGCCTGATACCCAGATCAAGAAGCAAAAGAAAACCAATAGTATAGCCTAAATCCCCATTTCAAGGTGCATTTTTCAAGGGTGTTAAGCTACTGGAGCAAGAAATTTTATTTTGAAGTGACAAGAAATTGATTTCTGCTTCAGTATGATCATATTTTCTATGGACCGTTTTTAAGAAATTATGGCAAATAGTTTTGATTCCTCTAGCAGCAAAATATTCTGAATAGTTTAAGGTGTTGGTTAAAATGGGGAGGAAAAAAATGAACTACTGCATTAAAAAATGCAAAGACCATAAGATATGTCTTTGTATCCAGTAATGAAAGAATAATAAAAAAATCCATAAATTGCTCTCTGATCTGAAAGAATTTGGACTGTGTACAACCATTTCTGCTGAACAGTAAAAAGACTGTTGCCTGAATTAAGTTTTACAGATTCAAGATTAATATGAAAGAGAATGAAAAAAAGGCATTTTGTCTCTGAATGCAGATAAGTCCTCCTTTGTAGGTGGTTCTTATTCTCTTCAGACTTTTGAATTTAGAGAAACAGTCTTCACTTTGCTCACCATTCTTATGAGACATCGGAACTACACATGAGCTTTTCCATTCCACTGTGTTCTCATACAAGTGTTGTATGTATAAATCCTCTGTAAATAAAAGGGAATTTAACCTAAACAAAACTTTTCCTGCTCTAGTTAGATGACCCTAGAAAAGAATATATTTTTTAAATAAGCAAGGAGAGTTTTTTGTGCTTGTTTTCAACTTTTTGTCTTTTGCACTCCCTTCCCCCAGTTGGGTCTAGTATTTTTGGACTAGAAACCACTCTATCTTCGCTTTATAATTTTTTGTGAGGGGGTGACTACACCCATTATTGCACCAGTTATTATTATTTTCCATATCTATAAGGCTAATTCTATAAATCCAAACAAACTGAAAAATATGTTCTTACTTGTATTCCCAAAATTCTTTTGCTGAGAATACACAAACAACATTGCTCCAAAGAGAAGGAAGATCTGAATTTAGAAGAATACAAATCAAGCTCTACACACATTAGAATAAGTGCCTCTGCTTCCTCTATTAAACTTCAGCTATCAAACAGCTGAAAAACCCATCATTTAACTATTAGTGTTTCCAGATACACTTAGGAAACCAATTTCTTATTTGGATCAATAGTTCTTTTTTTGGATTTGGTTTATGTATATAAGACATTCTCTGTTGTACAGTAACAGACTGCCTTATTGCCTTCATTGTTTGATAAAACAATAGATCTGTTGTCTGTCAGTAGCATTTGCAATGAAAATACAACCGGTTATATCGGTTTTTAGTTATGAGTTGCTTTGAGAGATAAGTATTATAAAAGAACATCTTAACATTTACTGTTAATCTATACTCAGTCTGCAAAACCAGGAATTAAGGCTAGAAGGCAGAGAAGCATTCATTCATAGCACAGCTTCAAGTCAAGATGATGATGGGTCATCTTTGATCACTCCTGTATTGAATATGTAACAGTTAACGTCTGCTGCCACTGGAGAAACACGACTACCAGTAGTACATTTTAGATCCAGTGAGCCAAAAGAAGGTAAGAAACTGTGATAAACAGCCAGCATTATTAACACATAAACAATTTTTGATTTGTTGACAGCAATTAGACATACTGGCTAGAAAAAAAAAGATACGCCATTGCTTCAGCATTTGGGGGCTAAAAATGGATTTAAACTAAATACTCAGACTTGGTTTGGTTGGTTGGTTTTGGGTTTGGTTTTTTTTTTTGTTTTGTCTTGGTTTTGGTTGGTGTTTTTTTTAACTACCAGTAAAAATATGCACACTGGCACTGCAGAAACTGTTAAAGGCAATTTCCAATGTAGTGAAGTGTAGCCTTGGGATTATGCATACAGTCTACAGTCTTAAAATAAGGTCCTCAAGCCAAGCAAAGAATTTAAACACATACTGCAAGGAAACCAGATTAGCTAAGAACTTTTTTTCTCCTGCATGAATTACAACTGAATTACAAGCAGATGCATCCACCTTCTTGTATCAAATAAATACTTAACATTTGCCTAGCAGTTTTCATGCGTGACCTGCTTACTGAAAGTTTTGTCAGGAAATGGTATTTCCAAGAATTAAGACAGGTGTTTACTTATTTGTGGAAAACAAGAATGCGCAGAGAGCAGAAAAGAATTTCACGTTCACACACAGATGGATTTGTGTATATGTGTTTTGTTTCTTTGGTTGGTTGTTTTTGGTTTTGTTAAAGCAAGGAAAGAATACATATCACAAGCTGATGGGCAGAAGAAAGGATGCCTAAATGAACTGCTCAGTCTAAACTGACTTCATTGTCAAAAGTTAGTGGTACAAACAGAACCAAAAAGGGTGCTAAAAATGTGCTGAGGAAGCAGAAAATCAATTTCTGTTCCCAGTTCTGCTGCTGGAAATCCACAGTAACTCCAAGCACACGACATGAGCACGTTAAAGCCATGTTGTGCATTCAGAAGGCAAAGTACTTTCTTCCTTCGCACAGAAAAAAAAAAAAGATAAGCAAGAGAGACTATCTTCTACATAACCTAGAAAAGCAGCATGCTTCTCACAGGAGAGACAGGTCTTCTCCAGAAGAGCAAAGCAAATTTACCAATTTTCAATGATATAATGCTCTACTTTTTTCTTTTTTATAAGCAAAATATTTGTATTTTAACAGCTATAAACAACTGACGACATTGCACAGAGCTATCTCAGTAACAGGATCAGTATGGGAAACTGCAAAAAGTAATCTGCTTACAGGGCTCGTAATTCATACATGAAAGTAACATATTCATAAGTGCTCTAGATAGCGTGCCTTGAAAATGTTATAAACACAAACACCTATGGAGTTAGATCCAATAAAAACTCTGATTTTCATTATGAAGCCCACATAAGACAGACAGCAATACACTGATACCAGCAATGAAAAGGCAGGTATTAAAACCTATGTAAATTAATCTTCCCCTCAAAACATAGAAACTTGAGCAGTAAAACAGGAACAGTTTCTGGCATTGTGCGCACAGCAACAACTCGTACTTTCCCACCTTTTACTCCCAAACTCCCTCAGCCAGATTACTCTGAAGCCCTTCCAACCCGTTTATACTCATCTGGCTGTCCACCATCGTTATCTGAATTACATTCTGCCCTCATGGATGACCTTAAACTGCAATCCTGGAAAATACCTTGCTCACCAACCCACTTGCTATAATTAGCATTCTGAGAGCTAACAGTACAGCCACTAAGGCACTGAGAAAGACACATGTCCTGCCTCAGCTCAATGCCTCTCAAGTGATCAGTCAGATGACCATTAAAACAGTGAAGTCTTTATTCAAATGGTCAACTCGCCTGCCTCAACCCATAAGCTGTCTCTGTAAGATTTTAAATAGAGGCATGGATAATGATGCTCTTTCATGTTACCCTCCTCACTATGAATTGGGGTGCTTCCAAATCTCCCTTCCTATTCCCAGGACACCCTGCAGTAAGTTGAAGATGTTCCACCTGAAGTAAGAAGAAATTCACTCCAGATCTAACAGTTGTCCCAGGCGCTAAATCTTTCATAAAAAATTATTCTAATTGTCCTATCTCATGTTCCTAAGCAATCCCATCCAATCAGAAGCTCATTTCTTTTTTGTTAAAGCTATGTTTGAGAAATGAAATTTCACGCTGTTAGCAACTGTCAGCACTTCACCTCCACTGAAGTCTGTAGGAGAGAGGGTAGAAAACTACCTGAAATTAATGAAAATCTGTCTCTCAAATGCACTTGTTCTGATTTTTAGTGGACGAAAAAAGTTGTGTTACTGCAATTGTTCTGCATGTTCTCTTTTTTTGATCTTGCCGACTCCCCAAGAGTATTTTGCATTCCCTTTTTTTTTTTTGACAAACTCGAATTAGAAAAAGCAAACAAGCAAACAAACAAACAAAAACCTACAACCAAAAAATCCCTCATATTCCACTGGAGTTTTACATGGCTATTTTACCTACCTTATCCTCAATAAATTTAACTTACAAACAAAATAAATTAAAGCAGAATATCAACAACTACTTTTAAAGAAATTTTATGCTATCCATCCACTGTGTTTTAGCAAACATGCCTAAAGTTATACCAAAACACTGATATCAAATTGCAATGCTACAGTAAACGGCATGGCAAAAACCTCACTGCTGAAGTCCTTCAGATCAACAGGCAAAGCATTCCTGACAATATGTGACAGAATCAACATTTGTAATATCAAGGACCTAAAAGTTCTATTCCATTAAGTATTCAGGTCCCCTGACTCCAACAAAACTGAAGAGTAAAAAAAAAGAGAGAAAAGAGACAGAAAGAACTAAACAAACAAAGCAACCTTACCTTTCACAAGCTCGGACAGTCCATGCAGCAATTATCCATAATGAGATACTAAAAACCAACAGTACAGTTCCTGGACATATCGTCATGAGAGTCTTCATAACAAAACGGGTATTGAAGTTTATCTTATTTAATGCTCCAATGCTTCTAGATGAGGCATCAGTGAAAAGTTTGCTGTGCAAAAGCATAACTCTGGCAATAAGATAAAGTCTTAAGAACATTGGTATAGACAAAATAATATCCACATCAGCTGTTGTTGTGGATGGAGCGTAAGAAAAGGCGAGCCGGGCTGTCCATGTAAATGTATAGTTCCCAGGTATGGGATGTATAGCACACACCAGTATTTCCAAGCAGATAAAGAAAATACGCTCATAAGTCATGGCTATTCTCCAGTCATCTGCTCCATTGTCCACCATGAACAACTGAAATAATAAAATATAAAGTTAACTTTAGTAGGTCATTAAAAAAACTTGTTATAATGCTATTTTAAAATCTCGTAATTTTCAGAGCTGCCAATGACCACTAAAAATAAAAATAAATATGCCATTTCAGAAAACGACATTACTACATCACGATGAAGGGAAATATAATGTTGGTTAAGACAAAAAGAATTTTTCAGGCACTATTTTGAAAACTAAACATGAAACTGAATGTTCACATATTATTTACTGAGAATTCTTCATATTTTCTTTAATTGTCATTTTTGATAAAACAAAACTCTGGATCAATTAAGCTTTGTCCCTTCAAAATCAATTACTTACTCTACGTTCATAAAATTGAGAAAAATTTAAGAAAGTGTGAAAGTGTTTGTAGAATGGATATCTAAATTACAAACTGAAAATACTTTCTATGATGCAACATTAAGCCTGCCCTTGCGCACACCCATGCATCAGCTTGTGTAGCATAATGCCAGGTTTTTTCAAGCTTCAGGCACCAATACAGATCAATGTAGGATGCCAAACTACATGAGAAACTGCACAAAGCCTAAAAAAGGTATCTCATGGTGAAAAACTGAAAAACAAAGGCCAGTAAACATCCAAGCAGCCCAGGCAGCCAGAGAACATCTACTCTGGCTGTATTTGAAAATTAAATACACATGTTGGTTCTTTCACAAAGGCCTTCGATTTGCCACGCAGGAACAAAAGTACTGAAACATTTCACACTGTTCAGTAAATGATGTTCCTTATGACTTACTAAATAAATAAAACAGTATTTGTCACTAGTAGAGTATAGTGGTACGCAAGAAGTTGCAAATACTAAACAAAAAGGAACACAACCCATACTGACAAAGAACATACAATTTCAGTGACAGGAGAATACTTTCTTATCACTTTAACTATAGTTCGAATCTCAACAAGGCCATTCAGTAAAAAGGCAAGAGGAAAATAATACTCTGTCAGAATGTTTAAAATTAGATTATTCAAAACTAATGGGTGAGAAGGAATAGTACACAAACAATGCGCTTTTCAAAGTAACGGAAGTATTTTCAACATATACACAGCCAAAAAAAAAATTACTCATCTGCACTGCTCTTTGTCCCTTTCCATCTTGCAAGAGTTTAAATATATAAGCCTGATCTCTCTGTATATATATTTTTAGAGATCAAAACCACCCTCTACACTGTCCTTCCAATATATTCAGCATGTCTTTCAGAAAACTGCTCTAGTCATTTGTCTAGAAGTGATAACCACAAATAAAATTTACTGTAGTTGAGCTGATACTAAAAGAAATAAGGAAGTTAACCATGGTAAGAAACAAAACTGATTCCTGCATTTGTGGACCTGTTTTTCATTTCTTTACATTATTCCCCTCCATCTGACTGTACTGTCAGTGACAAGGCTTTGGTACTGGAGAAGCTGCAGCGGTAGTGTCTGCAAGAAGAGGACAGGGCTGTCCCACTCCAGGAGATAACTGAGCTCATCAGAGAAGCTGGTGGTGCTTCTGCAAAAGCATATTTAAGAAAGTGCAAAATGCTGCCTAGGCAGTGAGAACTGAGGGAAAAGATGTGTGAGGAAATACGAAGGTCAGAGAAGAAGGGGGAGGAGGTGGTTCAGGCACCAGTACAGAGATTTCCCTGCAGCCCATGGAGAAGACCACAGTGAAGAAGGTACCTCTCTGAAGCTCATGGAGAGGACCATGCTGGAGCAGATACCTACACTGTAGACCATGGAGTACCCCACACCAGAGCAAGGTGAATATTTCCTGAAGTAACTGACACCTACAGAGAGCCCATGCTGGAGCAGATTCTCCTTCCAAAAACAAATGCCTGAGGAGGACCCATGCTGAAGCAGGTTTATCCTGAAGGGCTACAGACCAAGGAGATGACCCACACTAGAGCTAGGGAAAAGTGTGAGGAGGAAGGAGCAGCAGAGAGGAACTGTCATGGACAGACTCCTATTCCCCATATCCGCTGTGCCATTCATGGGGGAGCAAATAGAGGAGCTGGGACTTAAGGAGAGATGTTGAGCATGGGAAGAGGGGAACAGGGCAAGGTTTTTGTTTCTTGCCATCCTACTCTGCTTTTACCTAGCCATGAATTATTTTTCCCCAGTTAAGCCTGCCAGTGCTGGTAATTGGTAAGGGATCTGCCTGTCTTTATATTAACTCATGAATATTTTCATCTTATATTCTCTCCTTGTCTTACTGAGGAGGAAAAGTGAGAGAGCAGCTGGGTGAGGGTCTGGTAGCTGGCCTAGGTGAAGCCACCATACTTACCTTCCTGCAATGGCATACTATTAAAGACAAAACACAGTGTTGAATTAAGCTAAAGAAACACTCAGTGAATTCAATGTAACATGAGCACATACACTTTCTTTTACCTTTTGTCATTCTACAAACTTCAATTACTAGATACATGAATTGATACTGGAAAGCCATATTATACATGTATGTAGGTATGTATTACCAAAAGAGTGCTGGTTTGCATTTAGCAAATGTACTATTTGGTATGAAGGGTCAAACTTTTAGTGTACAGGAAGGCTCAAGTGCATTTGATTCTTGTGATTAGCCTGTAACTGGTATCAGTCCTATCACAGAAGTGCTACATCAGTTTATGAAGAAGCCCACATATTTAGAACACCCAGAACACAGATGAATAGTAGCCAGCTTGACTGAGATAAGAGATAATATCAAATTATAATAAACCTCTCAAATAATATATATATATAAAATAATATCTCTCAAATGCTGTGTGGATTTCCAAAGAAAAGAATAAATCAAAAAAAAAAGAGCTAGTATTTTAATTCTCAGATATATCTCAAATACACGTCAAACTGTCAGTGTATGAAAATTTCATTTAAAAAGAAAATTTCAAAATCTGCTGAAAAAAAGCAGTGGTCTTTTGTCCTCCCTTTTTACCTATCATCTTCACACATTTCAGAAAGAATTTTATATGCAGAAAGGCATTTAAACAGTTCAATTTAAAGATGAGAATGGAAGAACACCAAGTTAGGAATTAAAATTTGATCTTAGAATTTTCATAGGAGATAATTTTATTTAATAATGGAGTTTTTAAAAAACTTTGAGATGTCATTATGGAATAGATACTTGATAACATATTCACCTGTCAGCAGAGGAAATCCTAATGTGCTAGAAAGAAAGCAGTTTCTTAGTAGTGCTTACTAGAACAGGTTATGTTTGCAGATACAAAATATTCCTATCAACTTCCCTTGACCTCAGCTGTGACAGTTTTTTCTAAGGAAAATAGTATTTTAAGGTGATACTATCTTCAGCTGTCATATAATGAGATTTAAGGGGTGAAAACACGGAAGGTACAAAACACCAAAAGCCACCATAGACTGCAGACCCAGTACAAACATTTCTATCTTATAAAAACATTAACATTTCAAAATAATATTCATAAGGAAGAATTCCTTACAATACCGTGTCTCTAAAATAAAATTGTGCTGGTTCTCAAACACTCTGGAACAAATATGAGCCTCTGAAACAGGCTGTAAGTAATAATTAAACTGGGACATACTAAGATGACAGAGAAATTAGTACAGGTTTTCATGTACATTTTATATCCTCGTAATTATGCAACCCACTAAATGCAAGTTTCACTTTTCATTTGGAAGATGCAGATGTATTTGTGCATTTCTACGTGCTTGACTAAGTTCATTCTCTATTCAGAAACTGAGGAAGGTAACTGAAGAAGAAGAGAAAGAACAGCTGAATAGCACAATTTTAATGGTATGCATACACCCTTCTAGCTGCTTTCAGTCAATCCCGTTATAACCATTCATTAATTTCAAGATACAACTCCCTGTTTGAATGGAGAATGATGGTAGCAATAAAACTAGAACGTAACAAAAGAGTAAGCAAACTGTTCCTATAGAACTGAGTCTTTGCACCCCATAGAGAAGGCCAAAGTCCAGTCAAGGTCAAAGATGTTATGCCTGTTCATAGCTTTCAAATGTCTTATAATTATTCAGCACTGAAATCTAACGCAAGTACTTCATCAGTGTTCTGCAAGGCTCTCCAAATGGAGAACTCTCATATACCTTTATTAAGTCCACACTCCATAAGAAAAACATAAGAAAAATTGTTTTCACCTGAAATTGTCATGTATTTTTCAACACGTATATAAATCTAAGACATTAATGAATCTTTAACTTCAAACACACTTGGTATTTGTAGTGCCACACAGAAAGAAAAAAAACAAACCAAACATGAAAATAAAAATATCATAGATATTTATATAGGTATGTGTAATTTTACATAACTTTTTGTTAAATTGATGTAACACCAGATGAGAAAAAGAGATACACATTCAAAGTAGACAGACTGCACATGACAGCTGAGATCAGAGACTCCTCAAAGCTACATAAAACAAAAGGAGAGCAGTTATTTTCATAAATAAATAGTATATCAAAACAAATTTATACCAGATTATCAAAGGATGTTGGTGAATGCAAAGAACAAGGAAACTAACCATTTTCTATAAATGACTTTACAATTCAGCTAAAAGAGTCAATCTGAAAATTGTATTACTACCTTGCTGTAATACTGTTTGGATATGTTAACACAGAGATAATCAGGAAGCATTAAACAGTGATAAAATAGCTTCAGCTGTACTGGAAGTGACTTAACAAATCTCTGCAATTGCATAATTTAAAAATCCAAATTTAATATGGTTAAATATCTGAGTCACTTAAACCTTACTAAAACTGATAGGGCTATGATTCAAGAGTAGCAAAATATAATCTCTGGGGCTGTTGATTTGCCAAAATTTTTGACCAGACACTTTCCTACAGTTTCTATTCCCCAAAATATCATCTATACAACAAAAAAAACCACAACATTATGGTACTCAGAGAGGACGAAGATACTGCTTTTGCCTTACTACTCCAAACAGCCAAGTTACTGTCCCTCAGCACCCCATCAAGTATGAACTCTTAAAAACCACCTGGAGACAGGAGAT